GGGGCACTTGTTGCTATTGTTCTTCAAATGTCTCCTCTGCAAAAACCTACGTTACCTTCTGCAGGCACAACAAACTATTAGACCACTAAGGGCCAGCCTGTTGACCACTGCTCACCTGGCTATATCCCACCCCCCATCACCCCACCATCTCAAGACACAAGCTCTTTATGACAAGTTTTTGTTCCGCATTTATGCATTACCCGAAAAAAATGGGAGTTCAGACAGCCAGTTTACATCACTAGTAGAGTAATAACTACCACAGGCAAATTGAGGACTCAAATGATAGATTTACACGGTTTTGTACTGAAACAGTACATAGCACATACACCGCTCAAATGTAGGATGCATTTAGGGGTCCTTAATCACTTAATACCCAAAACAGCTATGCTCGTTGGTAGAATGGTACCCGGCAAACTTGCTCAGGAATCAGTTTTACATTCCCCAGCAGAGAAAGGAAAAATGAAATTACAAAGTTGCATCTAATACTTTTTAGTTCTTCTGACCCCAGTAATTGTGGCTTTGAGGTAAGAATTTAACAGATTACAAATGCCTCCATCTATTCATAGAAAATCCCCTGGTAGGCATACAGACAAAAAAGAATAATCCTTACTGCACACATCCCTGTTTATTTACAAAAAGGTAAAAGTCTTTGTTAAGCATGACACAACGTTCAGAGAATATTTTAAAGCGTTTCCTGGCATCCTGTAGTTTGTCGTGACTGAAATCCAGGTTTTAATTAAAACCCAAGCCAGCAAGTACTTCCTGGGAGAAGATGAATACTCTATTTAGAGACCATCTAATAGGAAAATAAGGGCACTTAAGAGCTCCTGAAAGGTGCTGAATTTGGTCTTAAAATACAAAACTGCTTTCAACTTACATAAACTCAGCTCTGCAAGTTTTTCAAATTAAATACTCTGTGAAAGCAGGGCAGATTTTACTTTCACCTGCCTTAGAGCCAAAAACATCAGCTCTCTCCTAGCATTAGGTAATTGAGGAAAGCCAAAAGTTTGCTCAACGTATGTAGAAAAGTTTTAAGAGTACGGTTCCTAACTCCTACTTCTTCAGCATTTACAAAGTTGAGGCAAGACATGAGAGGCTTTAAACTTGAGATTTCATGAATTCAGAGATTTCTGATTCAGAAAAGCCAACTTCCAACAGAACAAATGCATGTGCTGTAAGAAATCCCATACTGACTCAGGCAGATTTTTCTAGCCACAAACCTAGACAGAAATCCAGCCTTTTGGTTACCATTAGAGCATTCGGTCTTCAAGACAGAATGCAAAACCATATTTATCCCTATGGCAGCCAATAAATAGCTCAAGAGGATGAATTACACCACATACGATCTGAAAGGGTGATTTAACCTCTCTCCCATGCTCAACACCCACAGGCTGCACTTGTCAAGATATGACACTTCTCCCCTACAGTGCCTTCAGCCTCTTTTAATAATGCTTCTTGTCTTCCATGGGACATTGGTTTGGAAATACTCCAGCTTGCTTCCCAGAAATGTTTCTTTCTGCTGGAAGCGTTTCCACATTCATTCTACTTGCACTGCAAACCAGCAGCAGCTTGTTTTGGAAGCTGAATCACCACCTGTCTGACACCACCAAGGAAAAAAAGGAGGATTTCTAGGTGGATTCTGTATCCGATGCCAGACCTATTCTAGTGCAATCCTTGTGTTTCTTGCCAGAATAGCACTGCTGACCAAAAGGCCTCCAAAGCTTCTGCGAGGCACTAACGATCAGATCTAGGCCTGCTGAGGTTTGTCAGCTGTTTCCAATGAATCAGTAGTTTAAAATAAATTTCAAGACTCCTGTAGAAAAAAAAAGTGTTAAGTGCAAGTTTTTAAAGGAACTCTTTTCCTTCACTCTGGAGGCCTCGCATTTCAATGTCCATGTTTACTCTCTAAAATTACGGCCAAAACCAGTACTTTTATTTTGTACTATTTTCAAGCCCTTCACAGCAAGTTGTGACGCATTTTGGATGTAACAACATGAAGTTCACAGTAGTTAAAGCTTCCTGATAACCGAAGCCTTTATTTTGTCAGCCAATTACAGGTTACCTAGAAAGGATTAGGACAAACATTGCGGACAAAAATATTTAACTTGCTGAAGCCAATCAGGAACAAGTAAAAGTTGTATTAAGTTTCTTTTTAAACAACACACATCTCTAGATAGGATTACTAAAATCTATCCACTGCCAATGGCTGAAAAAACTTCAGAGTGGCACTTAGCCCATAATTTTTGGGTGTTGGGGTTTGGTTTTTTAAGATTTTTCTTGAACCAAAGAAAAATACCCAAAACACCTAAACCGACTGAGTTTTTTGTAGTCACAAAAATCCTTCTAAAGAAAAGCTGAAGCAGAAAACAAAGACAACACCAGACAAAAATCCAGCCATTACCCAACAATTTCTTCAAGACATGGGAGCAACAAGGAAAAGCACAAATTTTTTCCAGCCTCAAAGCTGTAATATTCTCTTGCACTTTCTTCTTTACAAAAATGAAACAAGGTTTGCTTTCAAATCCCTACAAGATATGCTTCTTCTACACAAACCCTACCATTTACTTACCATAGGCTTTGATCCCTAGCAAGCCTCTCCCCTCCATATATCCCAGTACTACAGAGCAGCAAGCCAGCATCCATAATTTCTCAGAACCGAATCCAAACATATTTGATGGTAAAATTAAGGTATACATGTCTGTCTAGAGCTTCCAGGAGAATACAACTCTTCTTGTGCATCCCAAGTTTTGGGAGACATTCAAGCCCGCAGGCTGTGCATCATCACAACTTCTTGTTTGTCGTACAGGACCGACTTGTCAACAGATAAACACGTATCACATACTGACACGAGAACTGCCAGAAGGAACACCTCAGTCCCCAGAATACTAATACGAAACTAGCAGATCTTCAATGTATTTCAAGCAGTTTTCTATGTCTACAGTAACTGCAAACAGTTCAACTAAGTAATTTGCACTCCACATACTCTCTGTAGGAATATTAAGCAGATTTTTTTTCTTCAATAATATAGGCCATCTGAAAGCTATAGGAATGAATCCAAATGTGAAGCATTTGAACCAAGTCTGTGAACCAGCTGAGATTTAAGGAACCTTTTATTTTTGAGAGGAAGTCAGGCAGCTGCCAGAGTTTCCATTTGCCCATTTTCTAAGTGTAATGCACAAGTCAAAAGAATCTGCGGGAAAAGTGTGGCTGCCTGCCACTGAGCTCTCAAAAGAAATCATCTGGTGATGTGAGGTGGAAGACAGCATTCATCATTAGCAATGCAAAAGAACAAGAGTTAGCTCTGCTAGTACTAATTCTTGACCACCTACTCTTTTTCTACATGACTAAGCCTATGGAAATAGCCTGTGAGAGATGCAGCACACTTCACTTTTTAAATACCTACCACTGCAAACATTAGCCTCTACAGAAGACATTTTAGGCTGAGCTGCATGTGCAGTATCTCTGTCAACCTCATTGCACTTCTGTTTGTTCCTTTAAGGCAATGAACTCAGATCAGCAAGAGGTCAGAAGTTCACATATTCATGTCCAGTCTGTTACGGAACAGTTCGCTCTTTGAACGATTTCAGGGATAATTTAAGGATCTCTGTATCTCAATTAACTCTACACTTCAACTACACTACACGGACCATACACAGGACTAAAGTTAATCTGCTTTTATTTGGAAAAACCGCATCAGAGAGGAGTTCAGTCGTAAGAACACCCACACCTTAGAGACTAAGCAGCAAGCTATGGAGACTTCACAACAAAGCTGCTAAGAAAGCAAAATGGTAAAATGCTGGGTGCTAACGAGCCTCTTTCAAACAGAGGAGCTTGAGAGAGATGCAGAACTGAGTAAGGACAGGTAACTGTGGAGGACCACAGGGAGCAGATGGTAGCAATACTATAGGAGAATGTGTTGAAGGCTGAAAACATCTATTCCCATCCTACCAAGGAGAAGGATCCAGCTGTTAAATACCAGCTACATTCAACACCTTGATTTGACTGTCACCTTGTACAACTCTGGACAAACTATTCCAGCTGCAGTTTCAAGTTTTTTGTGGCTATCAGAAAAGGTTTGTCCTATCCTCTCCCACATCGTAGCCCGATCAGCTCCCTGACCTGGTTTGCCATGTGGCAGCACGAGCACCAGTGCCAGCAAGCGAGGGGCCAGGGGACACACTGTCCTGAGTAAGGGCAGGATTGACCCAGTTAGTAAAAACCCGCAGTTGTGTCAGCTTAAAGCAAATATGGGATACAGCCTCAGTGTCTCGGGATAGATAGCACTTCTCTCCAAAGGGTGCTGGGAGGTGACAGAGCTTTAAATGGGTACGAAAGCTGAAGACAGCATAAAGAATTGCAGAAGGGTGGGGGAAGGAAGGTTAATGTATTCAGAGACAAGCAAAATCATTAAGGATGAGCAATGGAGCAATGGGAGATATGTACACTGACATTTAACTTCAGCTAGCCAGGTGCCAGATTAAAAGCAAGCAATATAAACATCCTCATGCATATTATTCTGTCCCTCAGAAGCAGTGACCAAGTTTAATGATGCTACTTGAAGACTCTTCTGCTAAGTTATACACAGTCTGTTACTAGAAATACTTGCTTTTGTACTTGCTGGAACAAAGAAGAAGGACTGATAAAACAAGCTACAGCATATTTCTCTAGCTTGCTTAAGCGATACTGAGTTCCTCAGCCTCCAAAAAGGGACATGATTACAAGAACCAGGGAAGCAGGGTTATTCACACCAAATCTGACAAGCAGCAAGTGTCCGTTTGTCAGACAGTACAACACAAGACCTACAGTTTTCTACCAGGCAAGTCCTTTGCCAGTACTTCCACACCTGGAAAAGCTGAGCACTGCAGACTTGTACTCTCAACATATAAGGGGAAAGAGAAACACCACCTCAGCTCAAGTCCTAGGGGAAAACTGCTGGATAGAATAAATGCAGTATGTTAAATATTAAGTAGTAAAAGAAATCAACATATAGCAGCTCAAAAAATGAGGCCACAAACATTCACTTCATTAGTGTCCAATTAAAAAAAAAGTCCATTTTTGAGAGAACTTATTCAGCACATTCTAGACCTCTAGTGAAATTCCATTCAAGAAATAGTTTCTACTACAGCCTGCAATGAAGTGGAAAGAGGACGGCCTCCAGGCACCGACGAGATTAAGCCACAGCCAAGGCAGCAGACCGATGCATTGATAAAATCATCACCATCAGCATATAGCACCCCTCTGGCTCTCAGCAGATCCTGCCTCATATTGGTGGGCTCATCAGCTCCCCCCAGGCACTCGTGTCTTTGAGAAACACTGCAAAGACAGTAACAGCCAGCCACAGCTCCCTGCTGCTTTCTCATCCTGCAACCCTCCCTTGCCCTTACAATTCAGGAGAAAGATGCCGGTTGCAAAATGCCCCTGCATTGCAGAAAGCTGTTCACGCTCCCATCCCAGCCAACAACACTACGTTGTCTCAGGCGGGCAGGCAACACTCAGGAGGGTGAGGATGAACGCTGGCAATTCGCAGTCTCAACGCCTGCAGCTGCTCAGGGAGCTCAGTGCAGGGCAGAGCTCAGCTGTTCTATCTATATAGTGGAGAAACCTTGAGCCAAAACCCGTAGAAAGCCATTTACTACCGTTTTGGACGACCTGTTGCAATAAGCTCCTTAACATTGTGCATAGTTGAACGGATTTTTATTGAAGACAAACCTTGATTTTAAAGCTATCATTTCTACCATGTCCTGAGAACCACTTGCAGCTTCAGTGGTACAAACCACACCGATGGCATCAAGCAGGTATGCTGGCATCTATCCAAAAGGTATTACAAAATGACCGATTAGCCCAGAATCAGAAAAAAACATCTCTGGTGCCAGATATCCATGAAATTGGTCCACTAAGCCCCTAATTCTACTGGCACCAGATATAAGGTTCTCTTCTTACGCCGGTTTCCCGTGAAGAGTGACTGCACGTAGTCAGCAAGTGCTACACTCACAACCAAGAGCATCTGTTTATCAGATTGTGATCCAAAACCACTGCACTGGTCCTTGGGAGACACTTCAGTGCAATAGCCCAATTCTTTTTGTATCCCATTCTATCAACACAAAGTACGTATCTCCCATTTTAGGAGTTGTAAGCTGTTTGCACGCAATGCTTCTAAGGTAAAAGTTTCCAAGCAGAAAACTAATAGTAATTACAATGAAAGTGGCTGCCAACGTCCTGCTCTGCAAGGGAAGACAGCCTCTGCCTCCAGTCACTGTGACTTCTTCTACACCATTCTCCAAGGACTATTTTCCCCATAGGCAAAGACAACAATCTCATTCAAATACAGCTGAGAACTTCTGCTGAAACACCAACTAGGTGGGGTAAGCTCTAACCAGAAATCACGATACAGATCATTACTGAGAACTTACAAGTTTTACACTTCCCTGCTCACCACTCCAGTGACTTTTCTGATAGTCATGTCCTTCAGCTTGCCAGCCACTTACATGAAGAACTTGTCTTTACCCACTCTTAAGTGCACCACGTTGTCAGCTCTCGGGAAAAGAGACTCCGAAAGTAGCAGTGACAAGAGACTTCAATGACTGAATTTTTAGCCTTCATCATACACATACTCGCAAGTCCAAAAGCTGATAGTACACCACACTAGACATGAAATAGCACATGAACTAGCCAATTCTACCACTAAGTACCTTAACATTCAGAGCAGTAACATTTCAATGCTTTTTTTAATTAATATACCAGACCCCTCTGATTCTCTTACCATTCACAGCTTTTTCTATCAGTTCTTCACAAGCATCGAAGTCTCCCTTCAATACCAGTTTGTCATGCAGGTCTGTCAACATAGGGTGCTCCAGAGCAATCTTGGTTTTCTTCTGCAGCGACTCAAAAGCTTCGGTGTAGTTGTGCTGACGAAAATGCTTTAGGCAAAGGCGAATGGCTTCCTGTTCACGGTACTACTGGAACACAAGAAAACCTATGAGACATGTAGATTTTTCTTTTACCAGCACTTCTGGGAGCTACCTGTGAACCTGCCTGGAGACAGAAGCAGGATCTCTTACACACACCACACATAAATCGCTCATGAGCTTACAGAGGAACACTATACAAAAGACGGTACAAGCTATGCAGGCATTTACTTTCCAAAAGTACAGAAATTATACAACTTGGTATCACCTTATTTAATAAGCATACAAGAAGAGAGTGCACAGTGTCCCACGTCTCTGGAGTGACCATCATTTCCCCCCCATGTGCTCGGCCCTGCTGTTCAAGGCCCACACGAAGTACAGAGCAGGAAAAAGCCTTCGCGATCAGCGTTACATAATTTGATTGTATGACTCTTATGTAACAAAATAATTTAGAAGAGTAAGTAGGTCACAGCTTTTCTAGAAGCAGAAGGAAAAAAAAGCTACGAGAAAAGGAATACTTGCAATGACCACTGCTCCTGCAACGGAAAGGCAGAAGGCAGGGCTGACCCCAAACCCTGCGGGTTCGCGAGGGTTTCGGATCAGTGGCAGCAAGGATTTACATGCACGCCAAAGTTTTACCTTCAAAATATTCCCATGCATCTTGAGCAGAACCCCTGCTTTCATACCGCGGGTGAGCCAAAGCTGCCCGTTTTCCCACTCAGCAGTGGGAAAGGGTGAGCAGGGCTAGAGAAACCCACGCTGGGTCAAACGTCCAGGCACAGAAACGTGAGGGAATAGCAAACTCTGTATAAGAGCTACAGCTTGTGCTGTTAACCTACCACATCATCCACGACGTTTTCAAAGCTGCTAACAATATGCATAAGTAACACAGATTTTTAAGTTGTAAGTAGCAGAACCACTTATTTTAAATAGTGGTTTCTCTTCAAACCTGAATTCTAAGGCATTCAAGAAAAAAAAAAAACCTCAATTCCCAACTTTAACACATATCTACTGAGGTAAAAAGCAAATGTAACTTAAGCTTATATAAGACTGATCAAGTTACAGACAAAGATTTTAAACCTAAATGGACACCACTGCCAAAAGTGAAGTTTATGGTATTTAAATGAACAGAATCTTTCTGAAAACCTGGAGCTAACACTAACATTCAACAAAAATTAGTGCTCTTGAAATAATGGCTCTATAGCAAGAATCTCATAAACTGAAGCAGCTAAAAAGAAACACGGCCATGTGCTGTATTTTTAGTTCTTAATCCATCAGTATTTCACAGCTGCAAATAGCCAGAACTATGCATTTTTAGAAAATCAGTTCCCAGCCCACATGAAAAAGGCCAAGGACACGTACCGATAAAAATGCAAGACTGTGGCAAAGGAATATTAAAGCTAAAAGAGTTTTACAGCACAACTGGAAAAAATCTTTTTTTTTTCCCTAAGAGATACCTAAGACACTGTCTTTAAGCAAATGCTCACTTAGATCAGTCAAGGCCAAAACCACATTAGATTCTTTGTTGCTAAAAGGGATAGCAAGCAAAAGGATAGCCGCACACCAGTAATAACCAGCTTCTGCACTTTCAGCTCCTCTAGTTTAGACATCAGCCAAAATTCAGACTTGGCGTATTTCCACTGAGCCTCTCATGACTGACAGACTTGGCTTATAAAACATCAAATGACTGTTGGATGCAGGTTAGCCACTCGATGCAATATAAAAGTTTGTATTTAAGTGACACCATAGTAGTACTTCAGAAGTTAAATGTAAAAACTTTTTTTTATGCAAAAAGGTGTATAAAAAGTATATAAAAGGCTCCTTTTTAAATGCCATCATACAGGTTTAAAGAGATGACAACCCAAATAATAGCTTTGATCTGAAGCTGTAAATAATTCCTATGGTTAAAAATATAACAAGACCGTGAGACTAAGATATTAACACTGCCAAATACGCTAGCAGAATTAAAAATATTTAAGTGTTCATTATTAAAAACAAAAGCGATAGCCATCGATAAACTGCCACTTCTTAGAATCATAGAATCATTTAGGTTGGAAAAGCCCTTTAAGATCACCAAGTCCAACCGTAAACCTAACACTGCCAAGTCCACCACTAAGCCATGTCCCTAAGCGCCTCGTCTACACGTCTTTTAAATACCTCCAGGGAGGTATTTAAAACTTCAACCACTTCCCTGGGCAGCCTGTTCCAATGCTTGAACTAGTTGCTAAAGTATGCCCACTCTTCAGTAAAAGCAAAGTGGTAAGGCTTTCAGGAGGCAGTAGGCTGAGCTGCTCAGCAAGGAGAAAGCAGTAGGGAGGGAGCTGAGGAGCTACTTGCTGCTTTGAGTCCTTATCTGTTACCCCCAACTCCACTCCCTTCAGGAAAGGGAGGTTTTGTTGGTTGAAGCACACACAACAATAAGGATGGGCAATTTCATGTAGAACCTTCTTCTCATCTGATGTCTCAGGCAGTAAAGAATTATTAGATTTCAAAGCCTTCGAGACTTCCAAGAACATGCACAAAAATATTCACACCATCTCAAAGAACTGGAAGAAACAAGTCAACCTTTCTGCCTTTCCCCAAATATGGGTCAGCACATATCCTCCTACATGGCTCTGGCAACAGTAGCCTCTTCAGGACTGTGAGAGAGGAGAACATCAGTGAGACATGCACTCATCACCGAAAACTTGGCAACTAACGCTAGTAGAGCCCAAACAATCATGACTAAGTCTCTGCCTTGCTGCTTTAGGGCTCTAAACTTTAGAAGAACAATGCTGGCACCCCTTGAAGAAGCTGTCACTACATACATGCTGACCATGAAAAGTGTCAATTCCACAGGATAGGATGGAACAAAACAGATGCTGACATCATCATCAGATGGCTCCTGACCAAAAAAACACAAAAATCAGGGCTTCCTGATTGCAGCAACTGGTCAAAAATGCCAGACACACCACCATGTGCACAGGCAGCAGAAAGAAGCACAGAAAATCATCAGCAGCCTCTGTCAACTAGACTTTTCAGAATTGGAGATTAGTAATCAGCAGACTAATGACCACAATACCACTTTAATCATAAAGCAGCTACAGACAACTTCCACTGTGACTGTTAGCGCTGTTTTTAAACGCTCCGTGAAGAAGCTTATGATGATGGTATAAGCACTTATAAGCCAGATAGCATGGCCACAAGGTTTCTTTACCATACTGGCAACACCATAAACTGGTGAGGGAGCCTCAGGAATGCAATCCACAATCTTTACCTCCTTTTAAGTTATTCCTTCTGGAAGCAGAGATATGCTGCTCCACTACCCAGTCTTATTCAGCTGGGAAGGATGTTTCCTCTGTAACACAATATGAATTTCATGAATTGTTCCAGAAGATCTACGCATAAAAAGCAGCAACAAAATGAATTCTGGTTGTCAATGTGCACTTCCCTCCCACAGGAGAGGCATCTGTTGTACTCAATTAAATACAGTTTATACAAATAATGTTTAGAACCCTCTGAACTTTCTGTCTATCAAAGTGACAAATGGTATAAATCATCTCATCTCACAGTCCAGTGGCATCAGCTCCCCTCTGTTCCAGAGTATTCAGCAAAAAGACAATAAGAGGGAAATATCAGAAGTGCAAGGAGCTGCAACAGGAAAGACACTAACGTGGATTTTCTTTAAAACAAATTCATTTTTATACCCTGTAACAAAAGCTGCATATGTAACCCAAAAAGGCTCTAGGCTCACATATAGCTCTACAGAAGGGCTGGTAAAAGAATGACTAATCAAAAGGCAAGAAGAGGGAGAAATGGAATCTCGTTTTGTTAAGATTCGTTTCCCTTCCAATACAAACAATATTTTATTAATATTGTCCCCTTTGACTCAGTGTTCCTTTCTTTTATGTTTTTCTTGTCTTGTCTAACGAGCAGGGTTTTTTGTAGGTTTTTTTTGGGGGGGGTGGTTTTGGGTTTTTTTGGGGTGTTTTGTTGGGTTTTTTTTAAGGAGAACAAGCAGATACGATTCAAAAAGATTCACTTAGAGTCAAAGTCAGCCATGTGGTTTGAGTTTTAACCACGCATATTTGTTGTTTTAATAGCTGATATTCAAGGAATGAAAAGGTCACGTAATTCCAGTAAGAGAAGTTTCACAAGATTCTGAGCCTACAAATCTTCAAACAAACAGGCACCTAAAATGCAGGCCTACCTTGCTGTACCAGTTGAGGCACGGTTGGACCACATCTGGATCATCAATGCCATTAAGTTCAACATACCAGATACTAAAATTGAAGCTAGGTCCCCAGGATAAAAGTGGAACTGGAGAAGAAAGGAAAAGGAGAAAAAGGATGCATAAACATCAAACAACCACTGCATTAGTCTTATCAGGCTACACATAGTACTATTTCAACAGAATGCTTTTGAAGGTTACACAAAATTCAGTATTTCTGATTTGACCTAAGTTCTAGTTCGTTTAAGTCAGCTTAGGGAAATTACCAAACACATCATGTTAAAGTTGTCATTTAAAGCAACCTGTGCTAAGCACCATTAACACAGCAGATGATTACAAAGAAGAAGCTCGCTTTAAGCAAAAGAGCAAAAATACTATCATTTAAAACAGCTCAAAGAAGCAACAAGCTTTGACATGGATGGGAATCACAAGCATACTAGCGACAGTATTTGCTCCTCATAGTACATTTATTTCCACATTTGTCAGCAACAATTATTTTCCCTAATGGTAAAGACAAGAAGCTTGGGTATTTTAAATTTTACAAAATTAGTAACTTCTGCAAGTTGTGGAGGAGGGAGGGAGGGAAAACTGTCAGTTTCCAATTTAAAAACTGTATCTAATCACTTTTTTTTTTAAAAGCTCACATCTGTGCAGCTTTTTGGCCAATACTGTTTTATCTGCATATTGGGACAAACATACTTGAAATATTAAATGACCCATGAAACACACTGCAGCCTTTCACCTAAGGCTTCTCTACTACTCTGTGTTAACATCTATGGTCTTGCACTGATCTATTGATTAATCTGCAGGTTAAGACTTGGTTCTGCTCTTTGAAGCAACGCCAACTCCCAGAAAACTTGTGTGAACTCTGACTCCTTAAAACGGCAGTGAAATCAAGTGGTTTCATTTCAAATACTTTTGTTTCCTTTTTATTTAACCGTAACTGATAAACAGGAAAAGATAGTATTAGAGATGAATGAGTAGTTACCAGCAACAGTTACTTCCTCCCTTCCACAGAAACTATTTTTGCCACAGAGAAATTGCTTGTCGTCTTTCAAACCACTACAAAATACTACTGAGATTAACTTGTTGAACTAAGGGTTTTCTGACCTACCCCTTGAGAAAATAAAAACCAAAATTTGTCTTAAAGTTGTTCTTGAGCTCTTAAAGGTTCTTAAGTATTTATACTTCAAACAAGCTAGATCTATTATTTTCTGCAATGTGTTTGGGCACAAAGCATACGTTCAAACACATGATTTTCTAAATTTTAAAGGGTGTTTCTACACACCTATTGCTAAAGACTCATGACAACCTCTGGGAACAGTCATCAGGAGAAAAGATTTTTAGAAAATATCCAAAGAGACTAAATACGCGATTCTTAACTGGTTTTAATATCCATAAGTAGGTACTTTATATGTTACAGCTCTCAAATCATCCTGTTCAAACAGTTTCTTTCTACTTGATTGCTCAGCATACAAAGCGAGATGCTTTCAGAGGAGCTCCTGGTGGGTGCATGTTTGTGGAGACAGGAGAGAACTGGTCAGAAAAGCCAAGAGTCACCTGTCTTCCACCCACATTGCACGCACTCTGCCCAAGAAACTTCTTTCTTGCTTAGTTTTGTCCTCTGCACAAGATGAGTGCTGCCAATATGGTACCTTAATACCATAAAACATTACTACTTTTAAATCCAAGTACACAGATAAGTTTAATCCTGGATATCCCACCTATTAAGGCAGCAGACTGACAAAATACCACATGTAAGGGTAACAACTCTGGTCTGTCTTCAGACCTGAATACACAAGACCAAGACCAAACTGAAGTTAAATTTGGTATTTGCTCAGCTATAAAGAATCAAAGCCTCGCCATCAGTTTATTGCACTGAAACACTGAACCAAACCACAGACCACCTCAAATGGACCAAGACCATAAATTTCCTGATGGTGAACCTGAGGCCAATTTCATAACACTGAGTTTACTGGGTGAAAAACCAAACTCAGGTATTATCAGTTTCTCACCTCATCCCAGAAAAAATGCAGAGGTATCCACCTCTATTTCTTTTCAGCAATTCTTCTCAGAACTTATATGAACTTCTCCCAGAAAAATTTAACAATTCACCCTCTTATCTTGGTAGCCAACTACAGCACGAAAGACGTTATCGGGATGTGCATAAGAATCCTGGGTAGACATCACCACAAAAAAATGCAAAGCCATCAACTTGCTAGCACTTCCTTTCCCCCCCAGTTAATTCTGAGCTTTCAACAGTCTTGTTTACAAGAAGGAAACAAAACACCAGAAATGGTGATTTTAACATCGAGATTTTCATGGTGCAATCATCTACTTTAAGGAAAGTACAGACGTTAAGTTGTATAGGGAATGCAAAGTAAATGCTTCCCCAGTGCTGCACAGGCAGCGAAAAGTGAAGCCGATCTTTTTGAACTACTCCGTAGGAGTAGGAAAAGAAACAAAGCAGAAGGGTTGAAACTGTAATGTGATTTCTATTCCAGTTAGGAAAGATCAAGTGTCCTGCTGATCACCTCCCCATTTTTGAACCTCTTCCCTGGCTCCTAGGCTACACGAAAGAGACACCTCTCACCCTTTCCTCTGCCCTCTCCTTTTTGAGGCCTCTATAGGCGTGCTTAGCTCTTTAGACAAATCTCCTTTTAAAGCAGCCACAATCTAACTTAGACCTGGAACAAGGAGACATTAAGTGCAGATGAAGTAGCAATAGTCACACAAACAGTGATAAGCATTAGTTGTCAGCGTGACACACAAATCTCGGTTTTATTTTTGCACAAGGTTTGGACGTAACAGCAGTCTAGGATGCTGGGTGCAGATATAAGCCCTCCTGGGTCCAACTGTTTCTTTTCTCACGTCTCCTAATGGCTGGTTTTCATTTGTCCTTCCCTTCACTCACTCTAGATTTCACACTGCAGCCTAGGTAGACCCAAAACTAATACAGCTTCTGCAATAGCGGAGAAACTAAAAATCAATCCTCCTCTAAAAATCAGTGAATACCCTACCTCTGCAATACAGCTGCAGAGGCCACAACTTGTGCTATCCCCTGTTTGCTTTTTTTCCCCACACACACATACCTTTGAGGTGAAAATCCAATGCGATTAAAGGTGTTGAATCTGAAGCCTAAAGCTACAGTTATTTCTCCAGTTTTTACCATAAAGCCACCTCAGCATGTTTTTTTGCTGCATGTACTACAGCAATCCACCGTGAAACGCATGTAACTGTTCAGAGCAGCTGAACTGTCACTCCACAGTGAGGTGCCCAGCAGAAGAAAAAAAACAATAATAAAAAAATCAATATCCCTTCAACAGAAGCAGAAGGTATTAAGGTCACTTAAACATTTCTTTACCCACACAAGGATGATTTTAGGGGGTATTTCTTAATAATCGGAAGCTATGCCTAGACAAGGACTGCAACCCTGTATACTAGAGAGGACAGTAGCAGAGGCATTAAACACAGTACAATAATCCCGAATACCCCTCTCAAGCTAATTTCCGTGTCCCTCATCTACAGGCAGTAGACACACAAACAGCGTATGTTTGGAAAAATGCAGGTGAAGATGTAGTCAATACATTTAACACAGAAAACATCCATAAAGAGAGTATTGCTCACTTCTATTACACCAAAGCTTAAAAATCTTGAAGCCTAGTTAGTAACTCCCATGCTAGTAACAAAATAGCATGAGAATTACAGCCATCATTTCTTCAAGCTCTTTCACAGCAATCAGTCTTTACACCACCTTCTGCTTTCAAGGACACAGTACAAAAAAAAAAATCTCTGCTTGGAGTAACCACAAAAACAGAGCAAGAAACAAAAGCTCACAAAGATTAAAAAGATTATTCTTCAATATTTTGTCTGGATAAATATCTTCTTCCCCCTCCCAAGTTCTTTAATGAGGTGCTACATGAAATGTAAAAATTACTTGTCAAGTAGGTCAAAAGCCTGCACAACTGGGCATTTCAGTGCTAAGGAACTGAAGTTGAACTAATTAAACCAAAAGAAGTGCAAGTCTTTTCTTGACAAGGGGAGAGAGAAGTTATTTTTTCTGCTTTCTACGAGTCTGAAACTTCCCCTAATACATGACCAATGGAAGTTGTAGGAAGTATTTTCCCCTCTCACAGATCTACCCATGTCATGTTCCTCCTGCCTGTCCTCCCACATAAACCTCACTGTTGTGTTATTAACAGTGGTGTATAGGTCAGTATGCTTATCTGCAGAATTAGAAAGCAAATGCCTGATGCAAGTCACTGCAGAACTAACTAGTGCCTTCGCCAAATACACAAACCTCACTGATAACAGTAACTTTTGCAGTGCCAGTCTCTAAGAGTCCAAAAGGGCAGATTTTGGCCTCATGTTTACTGGCAGCATTACAAGAAACACAGCACGGTATTTCAAATTTTGAGTTACTTTGGCTAGCAGCTTGGAAATTTTAACAAACTGAAAACATATTCAAGCTGTGAATCTGAAAAATAACAGAATTTCGTAACGTGATTTTGCAGTTGTTTCACAGCAAAAAACACTCTCACAACTTCATAAACAAAATGACACTAGCCATCAACTAGAGGTTTTAATAGGTTTTGGTGAAAAGATCATTTTAATTTCTGTCCTACCATAGGAATTTCTTCACGAAGACAGCTTCAAGAAACGAAAGGCTATAGATATAGCTAAAAAGGAAAACTCATCTCAAACCATAACTAGCAAGCAAGTGACAGTTAAATACAAATCTAATATTGAAAAGATTATTTTAATTTCTGTCCTAGCATAGGAATTTCTTCACGGAAGACAGCTTCAAGAAACGAAAGGCTATAGATATAGCTAAAAAGGAAAACTCATCTCAAACCATAACTAGCAAGCAAGTGACAGTTAAATACAAATCTAATATTAATGTATATAACACAGAATGCTTATTGCTACATGAGGAACCCATCCCAACAAAACAAGCCATGTAACTGTTAATACTACCCATGTCATGTCAGAGAAAAAAATCCTGGTAGTAGAAATTATCAGCATTTCACTTTCCTAACAAGTTTCAACTTACTGCTACACTTCATAACATCAGAACACATTTTGCTGGAATGCAATTTACACATCCAGAGAAGTAGCTAGTAATCTTTCCATTTGCCCCTTTAGCCCCCCAGTAACTACTTGCTGTTTTTTAGCCACTGAAAAATAACATTTCCCAAAAAACTAATGCGGGAAGCTTCAGAATACATTAAAACAAAACAAAAACAAACAAAAAAAAAAAAAAACCAAAAAAACCACCAATTTAACTTTCCTGACGTAGTCAACCTGTAACTCTAACTATTCCTCTGCTCCTCTTGAGGTTTCCTAAAGCCAAGTGTTACAGATGCTTCCAAAAGTAGCAGCCAAAAACAAACCCAATGAACAACCAATTTCTCTACTTCTCTAAGAATGGGAAACACCACCGTTTATAGCACATGAATGATTACTTGATTCCCAGCCTGAAGCTTTCAATCCCTCAGGCAAACATGAGAGGGGATTCAGAAAGCTGTGCAGAAAACACTAGAGCAAAGGGCTCCGAGGGGAGCCCCTACAGAGTCACTATCATTCAAGTCTTGGCAAAGGAACTACCCAACACTTCAAAACACTCCTAAATTCATCTAAATTAGTCAACAGGATCTTAGCTCATTTTTCAGCACTACCTCCTTGCTCTATTTTTAACCTTAAACAGCTAGTTTAAAACCAGTCATTCTTTTACTATCTCAGTAGGTAGGAAGGGGAAGATAAATTTACTGAGCTACGAAAAGCGGAAAGGCTCTAAATTCCTGCATTAAATCCAACCAGTATCACTGACAGCCACTGTAAGACACTTGTTCTCTCTGGCCTGCATGAAGCAAGGAAGAGAGATCCCCACCTGCTCCCATCACAAGTCACAGTAACCGGCCTTTGTTAGCACCCCCTTTAGCAAGCTTCACCAGAGAAACAAGACTAGACATCACAGGGTATAATTGTTGTTTGCCCCTGGATGTCACCTTTAACCGGAGATGAGACATGATTAGAGTAGCAGGAAGAGAACAAGGAGGGCTTCTGCTGATACTCTGTGTGTTGCGAGTGTGTTTGAGAACAAAAGACTTGAACCTTTTTCGAACTCTAGGGTTGTCAATGCTGAAACTTTTACCAGTATTTAGCTTAATTATTTTTTTCTTTTAAAGCTCTATATAGCAATTTATAGTAGGACAGTAAGCAGCTTCTCCAGCAATTAGTTGACTCAACAACTGTATTTCTGAAAATTACTGTATTTTACTTTCATTCCCCAGGATTTAAATTATGAAGCTATTATTTCTTAGTAACAGGACTTCACTGTGTTCCAATCTAACCAGCCTAAAAGATCATGAAATGGAATAGCTATTGTGGATACTTTGCCTGAGTACAATGAAGTCACAAGTGCCAAGACTGGCACAAGTATAAGAAGAGATTATTTTCTACTCAGAATGCTGAAAAAATGCATTTACCTATCTTAATGAATCGACAGGGGAACATCTGTTCATCAATTTTATGCTTCAAGGTGAATGTTTCTTTGTTATAATCATTCTTTAAGCCACTGTGGGAAAAAATAAATAAGGTTACTAAATCTTACCTTGTATTTTAGGACTAGCTAATAAACGCAATCTAGGTCATGCCTGAAATGCGAAGCTTGTTTCATATTACTATGAATCATAAGTACGCATGCTGGACCAATGCCTGGACTGCTATCCACCATCTTGTATCTCCCTGGGAGGCAGCACTGGCTAGTGGTTTCAGGAGGGAACTGACATCGGATCAATGCTGCTCATCTGTGCCTGTAACCCTGCGACTTCAGCAAGCAATCTGCCTGAACCGCACTTTCCCGTTTTCAAGCGGGAGATGGACCAGCTCTCAGAATTATAACACTGCCCAAGTGCTCTGTGATCCATTTATGGATATTACTTTATAAAAATATTAAATATTTAGTACAATTTATCAAAAATATTAAGTCCATTTTCACTGAAGATGCAAGTACAGGTCCCAAAATAAGGATTTTTATTAAACTTAAGTACAAGTGAAATGACATTAGATACCAATAATTACTATGCTACTAAGATCTCTTCCCCCATAACTCTAGCAGCAATAAAGTCAAATTGCAAGACTGGTCTATCTAAAGAGGGCAAAAGGGCGGGAAGGGTTGTGGGTAGTTTCTGTACGGTCTTGAAGGATACCTGCAACAAAGAACGTCCCATTTTTCTCAATGGCTATTCTGCTTGACTATAGATGATGTACACCTATACATTCCCCAGAGGTGAACTTTCCTTCTGTAGGCCTCCAAAAATAACTAGCTCTTCCTACTCCTAGGTATTTAAATATTTCCCTTTCCGAAACAGAAGACTCCTTAAAAGGCCCTTGCAAATTTACATTAGCAACTACTCTGAAGCCCTGGATAGCTTGAATAGCCAAAAGGCTCTTTCTTTAGTCCCTATCAGTACAACTACCAAATCAAACTAAACAAAGGAAAACACAGGTTTTCCATTTGCTTATTTGATTTATTTACCCATTTGAAGAAAGGCAGAGCAGCTGACCAGTTCAGACCTTTACAGCTGCAATGAGGTTCTTGACATAGGCAGGTTATTTGGCCTTTTAAAAGCTACTTTAAGTTACCCACACCTGGGGAATCATTTCTCTCGTGCCTCAAGCACACAGAGAAAGGAATCGCAGTCCCGCAACTTTGCACCCTGCTCTCAGCTCTTCCAAATCTCCAAGAGTCCGCTCTCCACAAATCCTCTGTGGTTAGAGCAGAGTAAGGAAGGCTTTCTGGAGCGAGTGTTGGGATTGCTCTCTCTGACCTGACCATAAACACAAGGGCAGCTAACTGCAGGATCACAACCACAGCTCTATTACACTGTTGGCCATGTGTCTGCTTGGGAGTGAAGGGAAGAGCATTTTGGTCCAGCCTTTATGATCACTATCGCTGATGAAATCACATCTTACCTGGATAAGAGATCTGTCATGTTTTCCTCATTCATCCCACCAAAGACTTTAAACTTCTTTAAATTGCAGACATGCGTTTTCTCGTATTTGCCAAATGTGATACTCTGGACTATGGCAGGTCTTTCAAGTTTCAGAATCAAATACTGCGGAAGAGAGAACAGCGAATTGCAATATTAAAGCCAAGGCTGCAAAACATACTAAGGGAGAAGCATTACAGCCTTCAAAAATTCAGTTTACAAAGCTAGAGAATGAAAGTTAAGGCAATCCCTCCCCATTATTATATTTTCTCTTTTGTTCCTGGAATGAAGCAAAGTTTTTTTAGGAATATTACTTTAAAAGCAGTTTATCCAGGAAAAAAATATTCCTAGCATTTCTATTTGGGGCTTACATACATTCCTTCAAGTTGGATGCAAGACTTCCTGAAATCTGGCAAATAGGATCAAACTACTGAGAGCGATGATTTAAACGCCCACTACAGCCTGAAATGAAACCTAAACTGAATACACAATTAGATAAATACAGTATGTTCCACATGCTAAGAGAACATCAAATTACTTTTCCTCTCTGGGCTGACACTATTTAACACTGAAAGCAGACTAAGTTTGATGTGTGGCTAACATAGGAAACAACTGCTTATTAACTGTACCAAATAAAACCAAACCACTTAACTGACAATAAAGGGGCTTTACACAGAAAACGATGAAAATGTTCTCCCTTGTGAACATGTGCTCCCCACTTACAGAGATGTCCCCCCCCACAGTGCATGAATAGTCAGATTATTTATATTCAGGCCCCAGCTACCAGCTTCATCAGCCCTGCTAGAGGAAAAGATCTGTTCCACTTGAAAAGCATTTGCAGAGAAGCTCTTGTACCATTCATCGGGGACCATCGAGCACCAAATTTATTTAACCTTCCCCTACAAAACACGTCTTGGAGGCAGTCTGGAGACATCCTGTTTTGCAGAATACGTAGAGTTTATACCTGAAAACAACGTGTTTCATTCCCTTCCCTAACTTCTCAGAAATAGGCAGTACACAACAGAGAAACGAGACAAAGTGCAAAATCACAATTACTCATCATGCTGGATTTTGTTACAAAACCCTGTGATCAAGGCTACAATACAAGCAGATCAGTAAGGCGTTGTAGGACACCTCCCACTGCAGGCGCTGGTGGCCCTTTCCTCCAAGAAATAGCACTGCCAAACCAGACATTTTTTGGTATTTCGAATCTTTCATCGACATCAAGTAGAGTATTCGCAGGCATGTGGCTGCTTTCTATGGCTCCTGAGCAGAGACTAGTATCTCTCCATAAAGTGTCATGGGCATCACTCTGCTCGTCCTATACAGCTCTCTCTATGGCACAATCTTACTCTAGAAGTGCATCTTTTGGGCGAGAAGCAGAACAAATTTTCCCCTTCCATTTATTTCTCAGTTTTTCTATCATGGCCCTACAAAGCAACTAATTACAGCTCTAGGAGCAGTACTGACATCTTTCTAGAGAGCATCAGGATAAACGTGTGATGTCAACGGCTGGTTCTCACTACATTTACAAAAAGCTTAGCTTAAAAAAACTACTAGTACATGTAGCAGTTTACAGTTAATGCAGACTGGACAGGTACCTATTTAGAATAAGGAGGATTTACTGCCAAAGATGTTTCCAGCAACTCAAAATTTTCCAGAATGAAGAAAAACCAGTATCAGCACTACTAGGGTGCACCAGAAGAATGCTTTGTTGCTTTCCCAGGTTTTTTTTGGGGGGGATGAAAAATTTCTGGTTTTGTGAAGAACACCATCCACCTAAATGTCAGAACCCACCATTAATTTAACTATCAGTAAGCCATGCTTTTATCCCAAAGTACTTCCCAAACTTCAGAAAAAAACAGAGTTCTATACAGAAAACATTTTCTAAAGCAGAGAAAAGGAAGGGATGAGCAAAAGGATGGTCCTGTAATGAGCAAGGCAGTACTTGATACATGGCACAACCCGCTGCCAAAATTCCCATGCAGAACAGACAGTACACAACAACATCTAAGAACTCCTCCTACACCACATCTTCCCTGCAGATTTCTCCCAAAGCTGAAAAAGCAAAGCTAGCACTACCAGCATCGGCAACTGCAATTCTTAATCTTGCTGGAATCACAAACCTAATGCTTGGGTCATGAAGACATACCTTCTCAAGTACCACACAAGATTTGCAAAAGCTTGGCACAAACTTCATCCCATATTATTCAATTCTTACCCTAAATTAAGGGAGAGAAATCCAGGACTGCAGTTAAATCCTTTATCTTGGCATACATGCCTAGAAGGGAGCAAGGCATGGCAATTACTCCATATGGATAGCAGCTATTTCTTAAGCCTACGGACAGGGAAGGAACTCTGCAGCCCTCTTTCCTGCGTCCACACATCCCATCACCTGCTGAGTCAGGCAGACATTATAGAAAATATAAGCACAAAAGATAAAGACAACCTTTTTGTGAATTTATCTGCTGACTAAAAGACAGGTTTGCTTTAAAGCCTGTGGCCCAATACCTGTACCTATGTATGCATTTTTATATTTTTAATACATATACACACACATACATAGATGTACTTTTTGTTTTTATGTATAAAAACACACACACGCTGCTGCCACTGTGGGTACAGGCTACAAATCTCACTGATGTCGGAAAAAAATATATTGCCTCAAGAGCTGCAAACAGCTGGCTGCATGGATATTTTTGGACTGCTACCAGGATTTTAGATGTGACAGACTATTCTCTATAGCTTTGAAAGATGTGATAAAAGCGTAAGTAAGATCAAGTGATTTATTAAACCTGGAGAGAATAAGTCTATGAGATTTCAGACAAACACAAATACCGAGATATTTGACACTTTTCCATCCTATTGCTATAAGCAACATCAGTACGTTTAATGTCCAAGTATTCATGAAGTATTCCAAAAATCCAAATTATAAACTGAAGTGTTTGTTCATTAGAGGCATGGCACACACAGTAATTGAAGTAACTTTGCAAAAACCTCACCCTAATTGTTCAGCCTCAAATTACAACATTTACAAAAAAAGATGCTACAAAACATTAGAAGAGTAAAACTTCTGGTTTATGATTAAATGCATTTGTAAGTGAAGATGCTCAAAGAGCAGAGAAAGTCATGTATGGCACTTCAGCACCTCAACAGCTTGTTACTGTACACCCAAAAAGGCAAATCCAGTCCTGTCACACTGGGAGCTGCAGCAAAATTCCAAACTTTTTTGAAGCTCTGGTCTGTGCTACCATTTGATGACAACCATATGCGTGCTTCTGCATCACACAACTGAGTGTAAATTTTATTAATGTACTTTAAATTAGTTCCTGATACAATCTACACAGCAGGATGGAAATCAAGAGAGGAAAACTGGTCTTCTCAGATGCAAAACTGAAACCAATTGTTTGGACAGTGCCACTAACTTTATACATATGCTTTTTAACTGTTCAAAATTTACATCTCCACATCAAATACGCTGGACCAGATTCCAAACTGCACTACGCAAGCTGCCTGTACAATTAGAGTCACATTGTGTTTTATTAATTTCTTTCTCTTTAACCACTTCTGCTCAAACATTTTTATTAGGAAGTAATGAAACTTGTATTGCATGTGAAAATAAAAACATAAAATAACCAAAATAACTTGACAGGGGCTGCCCTTGCTCACTACACAAACCTCCACATTTTTTTGCAATTAAGCTTGTGGCTAAATAAAAAGCTATCGTTTTGTTCTACACATTATCAATCAAGCCACTCAGGGGAATCAGATGTTCTTGCGCATGCAGTCTTCCCAGTCAGAACATCGCTGGAGCCATCAGGATGAGCATTTATGACAGGGCCGTAGTCTTCAGCATTACCACCCTTATTGCTTCACACTTCCTATGTAAGCCTAGAACTAGTTTAAAAATAGAACGGTCAGCCCTCTTCTGCTTGAATAGGTTACTACATAACAGGTTTGTTATTGAATATATAATTTCTGGGTCACTCTATTTCAAGAATCAAGAAAGATATCTAGTTTAATAAACAGAAAAACAGCTGTCATATGTATTTCCTTTCACTGGCACTCATTCATAACCAACTGGTGGCTTTCATGGCCGCAAGAATTATTTAACTCTACCATACCCATAAAAGCAGGAAAACCCTTTACTAAATATAGTCACGTGGCAGCATTTCAAGTATCTAGACTTCCACTTTCATTTTCTTCCCCTTTTCAAAAAGGTGCAATACAGACTCTGGCACATTTACTGCAAAGCATGGATCTTCACTGAGCTACTGAACACACACTCAGATTTTTACCTATGTTCTTCTGAGTCATGCTCATCCTAGCAAGAGGAACGCTCCGAAAGAAAAGGCGCCTGGAGAGGTTTTTTGTTTCACTCAACAAGGGAAGGGAATAAATCAGTGTTTAGGGACTCACTCATATTTCTACCTCTAAACCACCACCACCTCGGCAGGGAATTACTAAACCCTTACATTAAGGTGAGACAAACACTAGCGATTAGGGCTGCAGAGCTTATTAAAATATCTCATGGCACGTTCCAGTGAGCATGACTGACATTAGCCCTTGTGTTGTGCCTTAGCCCTAGTTTCAGCTAGCGAAGTCTGAAACAAGGAAAGCTTTATTTTACCGAGTTTTAGCTCGCTTCCTGTCCCGGACTATTACGGCCACCCACGCAGTTTAACAAGCGCGTCACCACAAAAGCGACCAATTTTTAAATGAAGTGACGCCAACACACAAGCCATAAAATGCTTTGCAACTTCATTTTCCATAGGATACATGATGTTCATTTTGGGGATTAAAAGTCATGTGTATATATCATCATTCTTTGGATTATGAAATACCCAACTTTTAACATAAAGCAACTAATTTCCCCCCGACTTCTCTCCCCACCACACTTATAATTCGGTCAACCACTATTTCGACTGAAGTTTTCCAAGCTAAGAATCTGCCTTAAGAACTTCAGCCATCTGCAAGAACAAGGAAGCAGGAAACGTGTAAAAAAGTTTTACCTGCATTAAAATGTGGCAGTCTTTCAATGGGCAAGGTGCAAGAACTAGCTATTTTGAGCAAAATGCAACCAAATCTGAAGTTCTTTTGTCAAGTATGAGACAGCACAATTTGGA